CCCACATATAGTAGGAGTGCAACTGAAGTTGATAAATGGGTCTGCACCTTCAGCTTTACTAAAAAGCTTCAGACAACCAAGGCCATGATGGGGAGCAGAAACCTATGTCTGTGAGCTATCTAGTGACATACACCATGGCATAAAGGCTAGTGACTGTATAAGAGTCACTGCTTCATCACAAACATTTACAGGGTTTGAAAGATATGGGAAGGTAATGAATGGGAGTTGGTATAAATTAGATTTAGCTATATTTCCTTTTCTTATTTCCTATCTTTAATTTCCTTGGCTTCCTATTTCTTTCTTTTACACTTTGAATCACACTGTTTATCCTGAAGGAAACTGCAAGATGAGTGTGTATGCATGTACACGTGTGTGTTAGGCACTACTGCCCACTGTCTCACTGTTTGTGGCTGACCAGAAAGGTAAATCAGTGTTTCTTACTTTGTTCAGGATGGCAATTGGCTCTTTGAGGACAAGGAAGTGTATGAAGATTTCCTGTTGCATTTGGGATCAGTCCATTATATGTTTGGCCCTGACTGGGTCTTCTTCTTAGGTTATCACGCAAATTTAGCTCCTGGGTGCGCCTTCTGTCTGCCTCCCACAGTGCTGCTCTTAAGCAATATAAGAAATGTTCATTCTTTTAACCTGTTCTAACCTGCCCTGCCTTTCCTCAAAGAAATTAAGTAGTCTCTCTTTTGTTCTCATAACCAAGTAGTGGTTGTATGTGGTGAAGCAAGCTGTACTTGCTAGATATAAAGAAAGCATAGCCTGTAGTCTTAAGCTGCATATGATATCCATATGAATATTAGTAAATGTTTATTTTGTTAGATTAAAAGCAGAAAGATCCTCATGTAATTCCTTCTGATCACATTTTTCTTGTCCTCTTATTTATTAGCTTTTACTCTTAAGGATTATTGCAAAATCAGAATACTTCTGGCATTCTGGGAAATGATTAGCAACAGGTTTGAGGAGGCCCAAAGACTTTTCCCGTATAACGCAAAATTGTTACACTTTCTGATTTCCATACATCTTGTTATGGCTGCCTGTTACTGTATATAAACAGTACATTACAATGGAGTACATCATGAAGGAAAAGTGAAGTGACAGAGAGCCTTTTGACAAACAAAATCCTTTCTATATAGCAGGGGTCTTCAAACTTGGCCCTTTTATGACTTGTGGACTTCAACTCCCAGAATTCCTCAGCCAGGCACGCTGGCTGAGGAATTCTGGGAGTTGAAGTCCACAAGTCATAAAAGGGCCAAGTTTGAAGACCCCTGCTATATAGCATGGGAAGAATATATTGTAAAAAAAAATCATGTTGGGATGAAAGTCCTACTAAAGAATGAGAATAAAATTAGAGGGAATGCGGATAGGAACTAAGCTGATTATTGCTAATGTAATTACTCCCCACCCCCTTTCCTGTAACTTCTTTCTGTTTTTTTACCAGAACTTTCATTCCAATTTGATTTTTTTTGTACATAATATACTGCTTATGCTATATACAGAGCAAGTCTTCCCTTCTGAGAAGGCCAAGAGCAATGCAAGTGTTACCAAATGACTATACCCATACTTTTAGCCAGATGTCAGATCTAAATTTGTAGTGTGAGTGACACCTCATGCTCTTCCTGCTTACTGGGAAGCCCCTGTCCACCATTCAGATCATCCACACATTATCACTCCTCACTTGTTCTCACTCACCTGTGTCAGTCAATTGCTTACCTTCTCACTCAGCTTTCTTGCACACTTGTACATCTCTCTTACACTTTATCGATGCAACATCATTCTGTCACATGTGCTGCCTATTAGTTGGGACACTTTTTCCTCATATATCTTACAATGTTACCCCAGACCATAGGCCCATGTAGATAAGGAGTGTGTGTAATGCCCAAATAGACTTTTGCCAAGTACCAGTCAGACATCATACTGTGTGCCTGCTTTCACCTGCCCAAGCCCAAATGGCCAGGGAGATAATTATGAGCGATCCTTTGTGTCATTAAAATACCTGTTTCAAGAATGGGTAGCAAGGCATCTTAAAGCCAATGTCATGAGGACATGTCAATTAGATCTCTAAGAGAAAGGGGAAAAAAAACCCTGTCATGTTGAGATTGGTGTGATGCACAGTGCCACAAAAATAGCCTGCAAAGCTCTTTGAAATGGGCCAGTAGATTTTTAAGAATTCAATCTCTTCCTAATTACAAACTGAGTAGATAACATTTGCATCCTGACATCCTCTACAAAGGGGATGGCTCATTCATTAGCAAGGAAGGAAATGTCTGATTTAAAGAGGAGGAGCTGGAAACCCAGTTGTTCCTTTAAAAGCATATTTTCCCATTGGCCTGAGCCAAGGGAATGCTCAGTGATTTCTACGCACACACCCCACTGTGTGCACGAAGGGCATTAGGCTTCACTGAGTAGCTTTATTATCATACATTAACCTTAACAATGTAAAACCTTCTTTTTTCCTGAAATGCAAGGTTAATTAAATCTAAACAGTCTTGGCCTTTCCAAGACAGAATGGTCAAAAATTATAATGGTTAATTAAGCCCTGCTTCTCCCCTCCTAGCAGAAGATAGTATCCATTTCCAAAGTAGGATGTTACATGCAATTACTGCAAAATGCAACTGAATTACAGTGTAAACTCAATCCTGTTTCAGTAGCTAAATTATACCTTGCACTGGAAATTAAAATAATCCTAGGGTTTGTTTGGGCATTTGATTTAGTTTACAGCATCTTCTCAAAGCTGGTGCTGTCTAGGTAAAACTCTAACTCCCACAAACAGGCCATGCTGATACAAACATGGATCAATGTTTTTTTTTTTTTTTAATGTGTGCCTTTGAGTCAATGTTGACTCCTGGTGACTGCCTGGATAAGTCCCTGCACTTTTCTTGGCATTGTTTTCAGAATTGGTTTGTTCTTGCGTCCTTCCTTGGACTGACAGAGAGGGACTGGCCCAAGTTGACTTTGTGTCCAAGGCAGAACTAGAACTCACAGTCTCCTAGTTTCTAGCCCAGAGTGGCTCTTGATGGGAACTACAGCTGAACCAAAATACATGAGGAAAACATAAGCCAATGCTAGAGAAAAGGCCTAGCATCCACATGCTTCAGCAGTTTCCAGCTTCTAGCTGCCCTGTTAGAGTCTGCTCAAGCTAACACCTGCTGTGCCTCCCTAGGTATTGCCAAGGAATCCTCTTCCTACAATGCTGGCAAAAATGGTGGGATCTGTATATGAACGGAAACACCAATACACATCTCCCCTCCAAATGTGATGAAAGTTGTAATAAAATAGATAGAAGAAGATTAGTTGGTGATAGATAGATAGATAGATAGATAGATAGATAGATAGATAGATAGATAGATAGATAGATAGATAGATATCAAACAGACATAATGGCAGACAATCATAGGGCTACCATAACTGCACTTCAGAAATCCAGATAGTCATACTGGAGGGCAGAAAAAGATACCCAAAAAAATAAGTTAACTCTTTCTTGTCTTGTTACAATTGGCTGATTTTTGCAGCCTAGATCTGCTAGCCCTTACATACAATACTACTGAATAGAAGGAAAATGTATGCAGAAAATATAGACATGAAAAAAGAGGTCTTCCATATTATATAATACCGGTGGTAAGAAAGTGTACATGAGGAAAATGCTCAAAAATGAAAAGAACTTATGCATTTCAGACTTAGAATTTTTTTAAAAGTGACAGACTGGGGCAGGAATGGGCTGAAAGTATCTTCAACATAGCATACCAAGAAACTATTCAAGGCTGACTAGTTTGCATCCTTAGCCACCACTCTGATTTCCCACATTCACACATAAAGCACTGAGAGGTGGCTGCAGCAATTTCAAGATTGTCCGCTTACAGCTTTAGCTGGAGTATTATCATCCCTTTCTGAAAACAGCAAACGATCACCATGACATAAACCCATCTAAACCATATTTACTCATATTTGATTTTTTTTAATCCTGCCACAGTCTTGTGACTCTTGAGGTTACTGCTGCCACAATAAAGAGAACAACAGAATTAAAACAACGTACAATCCAAATTACAAACGCACAACCAAAGTAGAAGAAGAAAATAATAATGAGATAGTCCAAAAGTGTTACTGAAAGGTTCTTCAAAAAAAAAGCTCCATTTTTAATTGCCTCTTTAAAAAACTTACCAGGCTGGGGGCCAACCTGATCAGCCTGAACAGCAACTTTCATCTTTAGCTGACTTCCCAAAAATGTGGAACAACATGAACTCCTTCTTTACTATGAAGCTGTGGTGGCACAGTGGCTAGAATGCAGTACTGCAGGCTACCTCTGCTGACTGCCGGCTGCCAGCTCAAGGTTGACTCAACCTCCTTCTGAGGTTGGTAAAATGTGGATCCAGATTGTTGGGGGCAATATGTTGACTTTAAACCGCTTAGAGAGGGCTGAAAAGCACTGTGAAGTGGTATATAAGTCTAAGTGCTATTCCTATTGCTTACTTGATCTAACAGACTGGGCCATGTCCAATTGGGGAAAATAGTTCTTTAGGTACCCTTGATGCACTTTAAATTGTATTTGGAACTGAACTGGTAACCAGTGTAGAACATACAATACAGCCCATAAAGTACTGTACTAAGGTGATTATGCAACTGGACCATACTGGGATTCCTCCCCCCCCCCAAGTTTTAGGAAAGGCCTTTGGACTTTTCTTGTTTTGTAAACTATGGTCCGCTACATCACACTGCGTGGCACACCTTGAAATGGCAAGCAAATTACAATATCATTTTTTGGGTCATGTGTAGAAGAGCTCTCTGGGATATGGGAAAGAAACCAGGATTTGCAGCTGCAGATTGCCCACTCATAGAGACAGCTTAACCTGCTCCAATATATAAATGTTGGCAGAATAACAATTCAAACATTTTCCTGATTTAGGTCCATTTAATTGCCAGTTAAACTCTGATAGTTGATGATTTGAATCAAATATGAATGCTCTGTTTTCATAATTTTACCATAATTTATTCCCTAGATGATGCATACTTACTGCAGGGACTTAATATTGAAGAACTTTATCCTGAAACCTCTAGTTTCATTACATATGATGGGTCCATGACAATTCCACCCTGCTATGAAACAGCAAGTTGGATACTAATGAACAAACCTGTCTACATATCAAGAATGCAGGTAAAATGAAAATCTTTATTGGCTATGATACATTACTTTGGAAATAATGAATTCTTCTTATAATTGCTGTGCCTTCAGAAATGTGTGCTTATTTTTCTGGAAAACCAGAGTAAATTAGGCAGCCTCCAATAGAAAAGTTAAAAAGAATCTTCCCATTTTCAAAGGTTATTATCACTGTTCTCCACCTAATATGGAAGGAAAGAATGGGTGTAAAGGGTTTAACTATTTTCAAAGAGAAGGCAAAATGTTGGCCTCAGAGGGCTAAATGTGCAATGGAAGGTTCAACACTTAAGTACTAATGTTTTTGTTTTTCTTTTAAATAAAGAAAATGAAGTCAAAAAGTCTTCTAAGAGGCAGAAGAAATAATGGCAGTTTGAACACAATTATTATATTTAGTAGTAAGAAAAGAATGTGAAAAGAAAAAAAAGGTTTACAAGTGGAACTTTGAAAAGTTGACAGAAGGAAAATGCTTGCTTTTCCATCATAGTGAGATTATTTCAACTTCTCCCATCACTGCCTATAAAATGAGACAAACCATTTCAGTTTATCTCAGCCTTAAACATTACAGTCCTACTTAGGAGAAGAGCTTCTCCATCTCTCCTCTAATTCAAATGCAACAGTATTCCACAAACAGCTTCACTCTTCCTTTTATAAAAATGAGTCTTTTATCATGTATTCAAGGTCATTATATCTGAAAAAAAGGGAAATGAGTCACTATTTTGTCCCTTTCTACTAATGAATTACACTGGGATAATACTAATCTATGCCTTATATTGATTTGAGTTGCAATCCTATATTCACTCATTCTGAAGTATGAGAGACCACAAGAAAATAAGGTCATAGGACAGACTGGGGTATTTAAAAAAAAATACATTCTGAAAAATATGGTAGCAGATCACTTCCATAGGTGGAAAGAAAACTATGTGAATGAACTCTCAACTCAAAAGAGAGTTGCTGGAATTGGGTATGTCTAGTTTAATGAAGAGAAGGACAAGGGGGGACATGATAGCAGTGATCCAATATCTCAGGGGCTGCCACATAGAAGAGGGAGTCAAGCTACTCTCCAAAGCACCTGAAGGCAGGACAAGAAGCAATGGATGGAAACTAATCAAGGAGAGAAGCAATCTAGAACTAAGGAGAAACTTCCTGACAGAACAATTAACCAGTGGAATAACCTGCCTCCAAAGGCGGTAAATGCTCCAACACTGGAAGTTTTTAAGAAGAGACTGGACAGCCATTTGTCTGAAATGGTATAGGGTTTCCTGCCTGAGCAAGGGGTCAGACTAGAAGATGACATCCAAGGTCCCTTCCAACTACTACTACTACTACTACTACTACTACTACTACTACTACTACTACTACTACTTATTGAAGGATGCCCAAGTATTTGTAGTAATCTTCCTCATCCAGACTCTTAATGTTATTTTCGTAGGGCATCTTGAGTCCTTCAGTTTTCACTACTTTTCCTTGTTTGATAGTAAGTGTGGCACATTTGTCCAAGCCAAACTCCATTACAATATCTTGGCTATATATACAGACAGTGTTGGGCAGCGATTCTATTTCAGATGATGTTTTTCCATACAGCTTCAGATCATCCATGTAAAGGAGATGGGATAGTCTGGTAGATGTTTTTGATGATTGATAACTCAGCCATGTCCTGAGTTATTCAATATTGTTGACAGAGGAAACAGCGCAATAACAAATAGTAATGGTGACAATGAATCTCCTTGAAATATTCCTCTCTTGATATTAACCTCTCCCAGTCTCTCACCATTGATCTGCAACTGTGTCTTCCATTGTGCCTTCGATCTTTGCACAAATTTTCTGATGTTTCTACTGACTCCTGTTATTTCTAGGCACTTTATTATCCAATCATGTGGCAGAGAGTCAAATGCCTTTTTGTAGTCAATCCAGGCCACATTCAGGTTGGTCTTCCTTCTCTTGCAGTTTTCCAAGATCATTTTGTCTATTAGGAGTTGATCTTTTGTTCCTCTGCTATTGGGGCGGTTTCCTTTCTTCTTCTTCTTCTTCTTCTTCTTCTTCTTATTATTATTATTATTATTATTATTATTATTATTATTATTATTATTATTATTATTATCGATCCTCGCGCAGTCAGCCAGATGTTCAGACTGGATTTGGCATTTTGTCTACCTATCGAGTCCTTACCCAGGACCTGGGATAGGCAGATGTGGATGTTTGATGGTATTACAGATATCGTCGCAGGATGGAAGCAGTTCCTAATAAGGCCGCCTTTTGCAATTGACTAATAGCGAATTTGTCAATGCCAATGGTGTTCAAGTGGTGCTCCAGTTGTTCTGGGATTGCACCCAAGGAGCCTATGACTATTGGTACTACCCTTGCTTGCTTTTGCCACAGTCTTTCTATTTCTATTTGTAGGTCTTTGTATTTTGTTATCTTCTCCACTTCTTTCTCATCTATTCTGCTGTCTCCAGGCACTGCCACGTCCACTATCCAGACTTTTTTGTCTTTCTTATCGACAATTGTTAAGTCTGGGGTGTTATGTTGCAGGTGCTTGTCTGTTTGAATTCTGAAGTCCCAGAGCAGTTTAATTTTATCATTTTCTATGACTTTCTCTATTTTATGATCCCACCAGTTTTTGCTTACAGGCAAATGATATTTTTGCAGATCTTCCAATGCACCATTGTTGCTACTTTGTCATGCCGCTGCTTGTAGTCAGTCTGTGCAATCTTCTTGCAACAGCTTACCAAGTGGTCCACTGTTTCTTCAGCTTCTTGCATAGGCGGCACTTACTGTCTGTTGCTGTCTTCTCAATTTTGACTTTGTATGCATTTGTCCTTAAGGCTTGGTCTTGTGCAGCCAGAATTAGTCCCTCGGTCTCTTTCTTCAATTTTCTGCTCTTAGCCATTGCCAGGTTTATTATTATCTGCTTTCCCAGCTATTTTTTTTCATGTATTGGCCATGTAGTGCTTTGTCTTCCCATGCCTCTATTCTGTTCTTCATTGGTCTTTCTTGTAGGCCAGTTTGGTCTCTCCAGTAGTCAGTAAGCCTTCCTGATATACTAATTTCAGTGCATCTTCATCATTGTTCTTCAGATATTCTTCCAAAGCCATTTTTTCTTCTTCAACCATCTGATGTACTTGTAGCCTTCCACGCCCACCTATTTGCCTTGGTAGATAAAGTCTATCAATGTCACTGCGTGGATGAAGGGCATGATTCATTGTCATTATTTTTCTGGTCTGCCTATCCATTGCTTTTAGTTCTGCTTGAATCCAGTCCACTATTCCAGTTGTGTACCTAATGACTGGGATTGCCCAGGTGTTGATTGCCTTTATGGTATTTCCTCCATTGAGTTTGGACTTTAAGATCTTCTTCACTCTCTTGATGTATTCACCTCTAATCTTTTTCTTGACTTCAGTGTGCTTGATGTTGTCAGCTTGAAGGATACCCAAGTATTTGTAGTACTCTTCCTTATCCAGACTCTTAATGTTATTTTCGTGGGGCATCTTTATTATTATTATTAAGGATCATTGCACAGTCAGCCAGATGTTCAGACTGGATTTGGCATTTTTGTCTACCTATCGAGTCCTTACCAAGGACCCAGGATAGGCAGATGTGGATGTTTGATGGTATTACAGATATCGTCGCAGGATGGAAGCAGTTCCTAGTAAGGCCGCCTTTTGGCATTGACTAATGGCGAATTTGTCAATGCCAATGGTGTTCAAGTGGTGCTCCAGTTGTTTTGGGATTGCATCCAAGGCACCTATTACCATTGGTAATACCCTTGCTTGCTTTTGCCACAGTCTTTCTATTTCTATTTGTAGGTCTTTGTATTTTGTTATCTTCTCCAGTTCTTTCTTGTCTATTTTATTATTATTATTATTATTATTATTATTATTATTATTATTATTATTATATAAAATGAAATTTCATTGCATATACCACCTCCAATATACACTCCTTGTTCGTGGTCAGCTCAAGTTTCAGAACATCCATTTTAGTCTCTTGGGAGCGAACGATGGCAAACAGGGCAGATGGAAATGGAGTTCCATGTGGATTAGCCCTCAAATTAGCTTGTATTCCTGACACCTTTGCCTCCTTTCCTTTTTCTGATCCTGTCTCTTTTTCTAGCCATAGTTGTTAAGTGAATCACTGAAGTTGTGCAGTTAGTAACACAATTGTTAAGTGAATCTGGCTTCCCCATTGACTTTGCTTGTCAGAAGGTCACAAAAGGGGATCACATGACCCAGGGACATGTGCCACCCTCATAAACATGAGTCGGTTGCCAAGCATCTGACTTTTGATCACGTGATCACAGGGATGCTGCAACGGTCATAAGTTTGAAAAATGATCATAAGTCACTTTTTTCAGTGCTGTTGTAACTTTGAACAGTCACTAAATAAACTGTTGTAAGTCAAGGACTACCTGTATTGTAAATATCTAATAAACCAGTTTGAACCCTCCCTCTTATCTTTTCTATTTAAACAAATATCCCTATCGTCTCTCGTCAAATAACCAAAACCTTTATAACATCATCATCCAGTCCTAGTCAACAAAAAGCTATTAAACATTACCCAAATTAGCAACCCATGTTTTCCTCTCAGATATTAAGATTAATATCTGTCTTCACTTTTTATATTAATGCAGATGCATTCATTACGGTTACTAAGCCAGAATCAGCCTTCACAGATTTTTCTGAGTATGAGTGATAACTTCAGACCAGTCCAGCCTCTCAACAATCGATGTATCCGAACAAACATCAACTTTAGTTTACAAGGGAAAGATTGCCCAAACAATAGAGCACAGAAACTACAGTATAGAGGTAATGCTACAAACATTATATTCATTTCAAGGTAATGTTTTCCGTTTTGGAATCCCCTTTGTCTTACAATGTCAGATTAGGAAGGTTTGATTTATTGTATTCCAGGTTAAATTGTTTCTTTGTCAGGCCCAATATTTTCTACTTTGATAACCTCTCTTCAGAGACTCAGAGAAGGATCTTTCAGACATCTGCTTCCTGGTGAGTAAGTGGAAATGCTAGGATTAAAATTTGGAATTTTTTTGATGTACAAAATATATGTTTTGCCATTACAAAAGACAGCTCTTTCAATCTTCTAAGGAGGCTTCTGTAAACCTTCAGAAAAATAAGGCTTACTGAAGGGGCAAAATACATGTCTGGCATAGTGATAGCTGGTGTTCTGGCTACTGAGTATGAATGAAAGGAGCTGGACCAGAGGTTGGAGCTGAAAATAAATATGCATGAAAAATCTAAAGACACTATAGAGACAATTACCCAGCTGAAGGATACTGCATAACATGAACCGGGATAACCAGATTGATTCTGTTTCAAAACAGTGGAATCATTTATATGCAACAAAACCCAGAGTCGCTGGTTTTAAGGTTGAAGAACAAATGCAAGCAAGAGTTCACAGCTTTAATTGTTACCTTTCCCAGATTTGCATAACTTATTTGGTGATCAAGGAGGAGAAAGAAGATGTATGGTAGTTTTGTTTGGTTTTGCTTTTTTAGTAAGAGATTTTTGTTTAAAAGAAAATATTGGAAGCCAGGAAATTAGAAGCACAATTCATTCTAAAACAACTGTTTCTGTTTTATTTTAGAATGCCAGTAACATTCCCTTCCCTGATGAATTTTCTAATACAGTGTTTTTCAAATCTGGTTTCTTTAAGATGTGTAGGACTTCAGGTCCCAGAATTCTCCATGCTGGCTGGGGAATTCTGGGAGTTGAAGTCCACACTTCTTAAAGTTGCCAAGTTTGAAAAACACTGTTCTAAATTAAACCAGTCTTCCCTGTACAATATCTTCCAGGGATATTAGACCTGAACTCCCATAACTAGCAGTAGCTAAGTCCATTATGTCTGACATGCATCAAGAAAGGCTTGTTAGGACAAAATAATAATGATTATATCTTGCAAAGGTATACACAACAGAGTGGTGTATGGGAAGACAAACCTGAATACATCTGTTTTCATGGAAGCCACTTTCCTAACAAGAAGTGCTTGCAAGGGGCTACAGTTCAGTAGAAGAGGCCATGTTTTTTATGTAGAAAATCCCAGATTTAGCCACTGCCCAGACACTAGTATAACTAATATCAAGTTAGATCAATGATGATGAATCTTTTGGGCTTGGCATGTCCAAAATTCAAAAAATACCTAATTCGACTCTGCTTGCATGTAAATACTGATGTGTCACCCAAAATGTCGTATCGTGTCACCTTTGACACATGTATCATAGATTCATCATCACTTGAGTTAGATGGATTAATAATCTGATTGAATGTAAAGCAAGTGACACATTTTGAGATATTGTGAACAATTATGAAATATTCATTCTCGTTCACTAAACCTGAAAACTTTCTTCCCTCTGCAAGAACCCATGTTTAACTTCTTTTTTGAAATATATTCACTTCTTGCAAGTTCTGGCTCCAAACCTTGATTTCAACGCAAGGCTTGATTTATCCTACTAGCAGGACATCAGAATCTATAATAACCTCATTATCTCATTGTCCCCACTCTCCCATCCACAGAGAGACATACCAACATTTCAAATGCTGGAAAAAGCACTAGAAATTGTATAATATTTTCCTTTTAAGATTTATTTATTTACACATTATTTATTTGGTTTATCCTAAGTAGCTGATCCCACAATCTATCTTTCAGATATTTGAGTGATCTTTAAATCTTTGTGGTTGTAGAAAGAAAAAAAATAAAGGAGGGAGGGTGTCATTGTGGAAATTTTTCCATGGTTATTGTTTTTTTTTCCCCCTTTCAGTAAATGAATGGCTCCTGAAATAATTAAGACATACATGGGAAGAAGTTTTCACCTCAATGGAATGCTACTACTGTGAATTGATATACTACAGAATGCCCCAATCCCATTCAGTCCTCGGTCTTTGTACTTCATGGAGCCACACTCAAAAGAAAAGGATGCCAAGTTGGAAATTCAGCTCAATGAAATGTATTCATATGGATCAGTCATAAGAAAAAAAAAAAAGACAATATCTGCCATTACCATGATTACAATTTTGATACTGTTTTCCTGAAACTACTATTGCCCACAATGAAAAAGACTGTTCAGACTTTGTATATATGAATTCTTCCTCTGTTCCCCTTCTCCCTTCTTCGCTTTCCCATCATAACTCCATTAAAAAGGTGGTTTGCTGCTGCCATCCAAGTGGATTTGTGTTCTGTGTGCCAAATAATCCTTGGAAAGCTGTCATATCCCCCTCATTATTGGTTACTGGCAAAGCAGAACTAGGGAGATAGTAAGGGAGATTTATTTCTGGATCATAATCTTTCCATTTGCTTAATAATGGACAGATGCCAAGATTAGTATTGTAAATAGATCACTGAAGAATATAAAGGAAATTGAAATATTTTCCCCCTCATCACATACCTGTAGTAGGAACTGCCAAGACTGGAATTAATCCATTTTTCTGTTTCTTGTTTTACAAAGGTCATACACTGTGTTTGGTTATTGTTAACAATTCAATAAATGTGTTTAACAAATTAATTTGCTACACTCACCTCGGTTTATTTTATTTCTTCTCTCTCAAAATAAAAAATGAAAAGGACCTTGAATTCTGCCGGCACTAATCATCAGAATTGTATTTTTAAATGTTTATTATTTGTATGTCAATATGTAGTTAAAAGTTACTATAAGAATAATCCCAAATTAAGATTTAAATACCAGAAGCACACACACATCATTTTAAAATACCTTGGTAAGAATTTATTTGGACAATTTCTCTGGCATCTAAAACAAAAATTGATTTTCATTGGACTACAGAAATACAGGAAGTCATCCCATTGGCTTCTTAGACTTTTGCCTCCTATCAACATCAACACAGGTTTGGGTAGATTTCCCTACTCATATAACTCAAATTCCCAGAATGGGAAAGCCAAGTCAATCATGCAGAAATAATTCAGAACCTTTCATACTTTCTTCTTGAACAGAGTCAAAACTTACACTGTTTGGTCTAATGATTAAGGCATCAGGCTAGAAAGCATGTGACCATGGGTTCAAGTCCCACTTTAGCCGTGAAAGCCAGCTGAGTGGCCTTAGGCCAGTCACTCTCTTTCAGCCCAATCCACCTCACAAGATGTGTGTGTTCACTGTCTTGAATTATTTGTAAAAATAATAAAGGCGGGAAATACATATATGCATACCTACATCTGCACATAAATCTGAAGATCCTCAAATGCAATGGCCTTCCTTTAAATCCCTGACCTTTCTGAATGAAAGTTTACAGGGTGAGTTGAACCACCCAGAGTTAATGACTGGGCTGGTCTAAATTATTTATTTATTTATTTATTTCCTTGGATAAGACTACACCCCTTTGCACAATTAGAGTTCCTAATGCATGTTTGCTGCTGTATGGAGGCTTCTCTCTGTGTTCAGGAGAACCTGAGGATGTCCATTGCAGGCACACATACTGTATATACCAAATGGAAAATTGGAAGAAGGTTTGAATGGGACTTTTATGTTTGTGACATCTATATACAGCGACGTTAGGCTGCTGCAATTTTTAACAGACATATTAAAAAACACATTTTCTTCCATCTCCCCATAAAATATCTGGGCATGTATATCTCCATAACAATACACAGATTTTGTTACTGGAAAAGTAAGTGATATTGCTGAAAGAGAAATGTTTCCTTAAAGAAGGCATCTGGATCCCACATAATTGTATTTATGGTCAGGTAAAGTGGGCATCTGGAAAAGACAATTGTCTTCGTCCCGTCTGCATGTATTGTTGAAGCAAAACAACGTAACCAATATATCTGCTTTTCTTAATGGATAAAAACAAGATTTCACCAAGCCAAAAGCAGATTTCTTTGATGTTTTTGTTTTAATTTTGTTTCATATTTAATGATCATTTACTATATTGAGGTTTTGAGTAAATGTATTCAAGTAGAAGGGAGCGCGATAGTTCAGTGGTTAAAGACACTGAGCTTGTCAGCTGGAAAACTGACAGTCTGGGTTCAAGACTCAAATGCTCAACTGCAGGGTGAGCTCCTGTTACTTTCTCCAGCTCCTGTCCACCTAACAGTTCTAAAGCATGCAAATGCAGGTAGATAAATAGGTACCACTTCAGTGGGCAGGTAAGAGCGCTCTGTGCACTTTGGCTAGCCACATGATCACACAAATGTCTTCGCACAACATTGGCTTGGCTAGGAAACAGAGATGAGCACTGCCCCCTAATGTCAGACACAATTGGACAGGGGAAACCTTTACCTTTATTCAACTAGAACCTCTTGAACAGCTTTCTGAAAAAAATAGTTCCTACTCCTCCCATAGATCAAATCTAATTTGCTACACACACACACACACACACACACACACCATACCTCTCTTTTCCTTTCATCTTGGATTACTGGACTCAACAGAAATATTAAAGGTCTAGTTACAAATGAAATAACTGTGGGTTTTTCATCAAAGAAGATCATGTTCTCTGTATTGGATAAATAGGAAAGAAATATGACACTGATTTGTATAATGTTTTCTGAATAATAGATGCAACCAAAATGAGACTGTTGATCATATAAATTACTTTTTAAGAAATATCTAGCAGTCATCAAGAGTGAGAATTAGAACATTTTTCACAGATCTGAATTCACGTGTTCATATATCTTTCAAAAATCCTGGAGTACCGGGGAAGTACCTGAGGATTAGAAAAGGGCTGATGTGGTTCCCATCTTCAAGAAAGTAAAAAAAAAAAAAATCAGAGTCAGGAAACTACAGACCAATTAGTTTAACATCAATACCTGGGAAGATCCTGGAAAAGATAATCAAAAAACAGATCTGCGAACAACTAGAAGCAAACAAAGTTGTAACTAGTAGCCAGCTTGGGTTTGTTAAAAACAGATCATGCCAAACCAATCTTATTTCATTCTTTGATAAAGTGACTAAATTAGTAGACCAGCAAAATACTTTAGACATATACTTAGATTTCAGTAAGGTATTTGACAATGTAGACCACAACCTGCTGCTCAGTAAGCTAAAAAAGGTGGGATAGACAACATCACCACCAGATGAATCTGTAGCTGGCTGACAAACCGTATTCACCGAGTAGTCCTCAATGGCACTACATCCACATGGAGAGATGTAAACAGTGGGGTACCACAAGGCTCCGTCTTAGACCCAGTACTCTTTAATATCTTCATAAGTGACTTAGATGAGGGAATAGAAGGGGAACTCATCAAATTTGCAGATGATACTAAACTGGCAGGATAGCCAACACCTCAGAAGACAAGCTCAGGATCCAAAAAGATCTTGACAAACTTGAACAATGGGCCCTAACCAGCAAAATGAATTTTAACGTGGAGAAAAGCAAAGTTTTACATTTAGGCAGGAAAAGTCAAAGGTGTAAGTACAGATTAGGCGAGACCTGGCTCAAAAACAGCAACTCTCAGAGGGATTTTGGAGTCCTAGTGGACGATCACTTGACTTTGAGCCAGCAGTGTGCAGCAGTAGCCAAAGCTAATACAATCCTGGGTTCTATAAATAGAATCAAGATCATGTGAAGTATTAGTACCGCTTTATAAAACCCTAGTAAGACCACAATTGGAATACTGCAACCAATTTTGGTCACCATACTACAAAAAAGATGTTGAGACTTTAGAAAATATTCAGAGAAGAGCAACTAAAATGATCAAAGGCCTGGAGACTAAAACATATGAAGAACAATTTCAGGACTTGGGTTTGGCTAGTCTAAAGAAAAGAAGAAACAGAGGTGACACGATAGCAGTATTCCAGTATTTGAGGGGCTGCCACAAAGAAGAGGGGGTCAAAATATTCCCCAAAGCACCAGAGGGCAGGACAAGAAACAATAGTTGGAAACTGACCAAAGAGAGAAGCAACCTGGAATTAAGAAGAAAACTTCCTAACAATGAGGACAATTAACCAGTGGAACAGCTTGCCTTCAGAAATCATGGGCACTCCATCACTAGAGGTTTTTAAGAAGAAACTGGACAGTCAGTTGTCTGAAAGGTATAGGTTCTCCTGCTTGAGCAGGGGGCTGGACTAGAAGACCTCCAAAGTCCCTTCCAAATCTATTCTATATTGTAGTTAAAAATCAAAAATATTTGCTGGCCAGTGGACATACGTTGTAACAAGAAGAGGTATTATGGAATATTTCAAAACCTATAAATGTTTTCATATATTCAAACTATCACCTATATTGCTGATATATTATTATTGTTATTATATGTTACTATTATTTCTATTTTGTCCCTTGATTATCCAATCCAATAGATTAGAAATATACCAAGAGAGAGAGAAAGTATGACAAGGGGCAGCATGTGGCTGTCATTAAATCTTAGAATATATATTATCAAGACTTATACCAAGAACCAACAACCTCCCTGTGCAGTGTATCCCTAAGTCCAAAACTTGAGGTATCTGGCTAAATAGTGACTGCCCTTTGGGAGCGGCCGTTCATTCTTCCAAAATGGAAACTGTGATCCTCAGCTTATTCTTATTTATCATTCTCTGCCCGACAACTACAGTCATATGTAGTTCAGTTCTGACATGCTGACACATACCCTACTTCTCTGACTCTATTGTTACTTTCTTTGTGATAAAAATATTGACACTAACTAAAACATGTCTCAGCCTTTCCCTTGGAATTTTAAAACATGTTCAAAAATGGTTTATTGCGTGACTTACATAGATTCATTGCTGTGACTTTCACTCAACCAGATAAGCATCAGAATTAAAGATGTCTAAGTTGCAGAATATGGACTGCCTTTTTACATGCAAATGTAAATGTTGTCCCAACATTCATTGGCTCTAGAGCAGTGTTTTTCAAATTTGTCAATTTTAAAATGTGTGGACTTCAACTCTCAGAATTCCCCAGCAAGCATGTTGGATGGAGAATTCTGGGAATGGAAGTTCACGCATCTTAAAGCTGACAAGTTTGAAAAGCTCTATGTTGCCTATCCTTACTCTGACAGCTCCAGATCTTGGCTTTCACATCCTAAGAGTCCAGGTCCTTTTAAGTGGTTTTTATATATGCATGAGACCAACTGTTTGTTTACAATAGAAATGCCAAGGTAGCTGAACTAAATCCGAAAGTCTGTTCACTTCCAGGCTTGTTGACAAGCAAAGTTTGCTAATATTACTAATCAGCACTCAATCAAAATATTAAATAATTAGGAGAGAAGTGGCGCAACAGGAAAGTGCATGTGTGAAAACAGATAAAGACCAAGAGACACAGGAGCATAAGGAAAGATAAATGCTTGCAGCATACTGACAAAGCTAAAGAGATATTAATGTACTGCTCTTTTCTCTCTCCACTCCAAATATTTCTTCACTGCTTCTCATTTAAAAATACAATCTTACTGCAGCCAGAGAGTCCGACTTCAGCTCTCTGCTTTCTTTTAGTTTTAATTTGAAATGTGACAGTAATGACTAATAAACTGACGGAATCAGAGACCAGACATTGCAGGGTGCAGAAATGATTTTACTGCTTTCACAGTGTTTATTCTCTTATACAGTTTTCCAAGCAG